ATATGTTTCAAAAATATCACCACTAAAGCACTCTGTTGATGCTAACTTCACCACCGGGCTAAATGTAGCGTACTACATTCAGATATCTAACTGAATGTCGCTTATTTAATACCAAAGAAAGAATTTGCCGCACAAAATAAAGTATAGCTGACTTGAAGAACTATTATTAGGTGTCCGAATAATAAATCGATTATGAGATACATCTGGAACATTAATTAAATTTGATTGGCTATTTTTCAGTTAACCGATAATGTCCAATTTCGATTACATCAATGAGTTTTACTCATTTTTTTCTAATGCACATTGAGTCAATTTTTGAAAACACCTAAATTCACATGTACACTACCAGTTTATAGGGTTAATAAAAAAACCAAACAGACATTTTAACTACAAAAGTGATAATAAACAGTGGGCATTGCAATAATGTTTGGTCTACCGTGATTTATATGACATGGATATGGTTCCAATGCTTTTAATTTTCTACATGTTTTAAAGGATCACGAATTTTCGCGTTTGTGACTTCATTTTAACGAATCCGTTGATTAATTAGTACTCACACCCTTCCTGTGATTAATTTTCTTATACTTGTGGACTGCCGAATTCAGACTTTGTATGGAGTTTATTTTTAAAAAAAATTGTTGACGGTACAAATTACTTGTGTTATTGATATGGAAAAACACAAAATTAGTTTTAACACAAGTCCTTGTGTCACGATCCATCACAAGATGTTTTTCAGTGTGTACAATTTTATAATCTCGGACAAGAGTTTTATTTCATAATAAATTGCATTTTATAAAAAAAAAAATTAATTCGGCGAAGTTGTTTAAATAATAACAGGCCTAATAATCATAAATATTTTTTTACGCGGACTTTTCAATCCAGGTAGAAATACTCTCGAGTTATAAGTGTTGATTTATTTAGAATCTGCAGGCGAATTCATCGATTGCGTTATTTGTTATTTATGGTGGAATAATTTATATGGGATAAGGGGCTGTAGATGGAGGAGAAGTTTTATATATAAATAGGAGATTAACACATCGTTTATTCACAAGATGAATAGCAGCGAAACCATAGGTAGCTGTATTAACCACAACAAACATTAGAAAAGAAGATTTATATTTAACTATAAAGGTAAGTTATTTCAGTATATAAAACAACTAGATCTCATTTATATTGGTAATATTATCGATTTAATTAAATTTGATGTTGTGCTTACAATTAAACTTTGCACCCACAGATTGAGCCAACTTTGAGATATAACCCAGTTTGTGTTTAACAATCCACAGTTTGAACATCAAACACGAAACAAAATGAGTTAAGATCCATTGTGTAAGATTTTGATAAAGAGCTAGACGTTCAAAAATAGATATATTGCAAATTTCATTCAAATTAATTTATTTTGAGCTAACTTGGAAGATGCGGCGTAGATTATTATCGTAGCAACGGGCCAGCAAACGAGATTGTCTTGATTATCCAATTTATCGTTAAATTGTAATATTTCGCAGGCGTTCTGCTCTATTTAAACCTGCCATCCGATTGTCAAGAGGGTTGATTGTGGACTTGTGATGTGAATAAATGGCTAAATCATAGTTTATATATATAACATTTAAAACCAAAATAAAGAACAGCATTAGGCAGATTTAGCTCTTACATAATGCATCTTTAACCAAGCAACATCAGCTGAATAATTCGAATTGGAAATTTGATCGTGTAGATAATGCACCAACAATAAACGAAAAGAAACGAAATTGGGTTTAAACGTCCGCCAACAATAAACTATACATCTGTAGTTGTTTAAATAGAGAATCTCCTACCAGTCTTTTTTGATATCAAGAAATATCAACACAAGTTGATAAAGTAACAAAAAAACGAGGCTCTGCCGAGTTTTTTTTTACTTTATCAATGAGTGTTGATATTTTTTGATACCAAAAAAGACGAGTAGGAGATTTTATTTATCACCCAATCCCTTCTTACATGCACAAATAGATAAATATAATTCTTTGCTGTAGATTTCACTTTTACTGAACATTACGGCGTAGTGATGCATCATTTTTTGACAGCAATTCAACCATTGCAAAGTCCTTTATATTGACCCAGTGTTTCCATCAAGGTCAATTGAATAACAATAGTTCATTTTTAATAAAAAAAAAAGTTATTTTTATTAAAAAATGAACTGTTCTTTGAAAATAAAAAAAAAGTAGTTCCCTTTCAACTGACCAATCAAATATCGCAGGAGATTATGAAATATATCACACAAGCGATATCTACTGTAGAATGTATTATTGGGTGATAAAGGTTAATACCAGTGGTTGTCAATCCGGGCTTCCGTGTTCCATCCCGGTGAAGATACTTACAAGCTGCTCTTCTTAATTTATTTATTTCCTTTGTTCTGAAATACAGGACAATTTATTTCCTTAATTTCCAAAATTTACAAACTTGACCTAACTATTCGAATAGCTGAGGTCAATCTGATTTCAAAATATAAGTTCCATTCAAAGTTATCTCATTCTATTTTTCATTATATTCCCGCCATTTTCAACCCGTCCCATTTTTAAACGGATTGATCGATTTTCTGGAACGGGAATCAATCCCATTACAGCAATACAAGTCTCAGTTATTTCCCTTTATTTTTTGGCCAGGGTGAAATGTTTCTAGCTATATTTAAGCTAATAGTTTCACGAGTTTCTGACCGATTTTAATAATCATTTTTTCTTATTGAGTTTCTTTATATAACCCATGGCATGTGACAGGAAGTGACCGTGAATATGAAATCGTTCATATCTACATGGCAGATCTAATTATTATTATTTTTACTTATTTTTTTTCATTATAAAGATGACAACGGCTTGTTTTAAAAGGGATATAGACGAAACTGCGCTAAACCAAAACGATCAAAACTTATGTAACTGTAAATTCAAAACGAAAGAAAACATAAACTGCCAAAAATGTGATCAAAATTTACTTAAATATAAGTCACTGGGTTCTTATTAAATAAGAAATATCAACCGATCGTTTTGATTTTATGGACACCATGTCAAGTCTATGGTCGTTTTGACTAAACATTATGATTAAACTGTATTGTGATGCCTTGAGAATATGTATTCAATTAGTATTGGGCTTGCTTTTCTACATGGCGAAATGATGAAGTTTGGATAAAAGATTCCCCGAATCGACGATTTTGTGAAGAATATAATTAGAATGCCATAAACTGTCCATGATAAAACAATCTTTTTTGATCTTAGAAAGTGGCAAATTGGGGCGAATGTGTCCTGATGTATGTGTATGAAATATTAAACATACATTATGCAAGAGCTAAATCTGCCTATTTCAGGTCTTTCTTTAAGCCTGAAATGTTATCTAAATTATTAATTAGACATTAATTAACTTATCCAGACCATAGTCAACTCTCGATGTCATCGGTAGCCTGTGATATTTACTGGATTAGAATCCGATTTGCTAGTCAACTTTCATTCATGATTTAATCATGAAATCGATAATCGGGACTTCGTTTTTTTTTTATCGTACCGACCAATTAGTTATGATGATCGATGCTAGACCAATACTAATTGAACAAGGATTCAAAATACAGTAACTTAAAGTTTAATCACAACTGCCTTGTAATTACAAGATATGGAGAAGCCCATTAGAGTCAATCAAATCAAATAAAGGTGTTCTGAATAAAAAGTGTTCCGTAATAAAGCACATAAATTATATCGTATTTTTTTTTAAGACAAAGGGGAGTGTGCATGTCCCAGGTCAGTGATTCAAAATAAGCCATTACAATTCAGATTTCATATAAAAGACCCGAATCCGCTACAATTAAATCATTCTGTCGGGGCTAACCAAGGAACAGTTAACTAAAATAACTAAAAGAGTAAGTATAAAACTTATATTTTAACGGATACCTACAGTTAATATAACATTTATTTTTTAATTGAGCTTTTATCAATTAAGAGAAACATATAAGATTAACAGAGATTATCCTAAATTTATATTTTTAGTGCAACAGTCCTGCTATTGGCCTTTTGGTCAATATTATTATTTATTTGAAATGTTTCAGATTTTAAAATTTACAACCGCAATGAAACAATTGGTATTGGCGGGTGTTGTTGCCTTATTGGCTTCACAGACAGCTTTTTCAGGTAAGAATATTTTATTTATATTTTTTGATTCTATGAATATCCGAAACCGTGCTTTAGCTTCAATTTGATTCTTCCTAAAAAAAAAGTTATTAATTTTCGGCATCATTTGGATTCTCTGAAAACAATTTCAATTTCAGTTTTGTTTTTCGATTCTGTGAATATATCTGAAACCATCTTTTAGCTTTAATTCGATTGTGCCTAAAAAGGGTTATTTTTTTTCTTGATTATTATGATTCTCTGAAAATAATTTTAATTTCAGTTTTATTTTTCGATTCTGTGAATATATCTGAAACCACAATTTAGCATTAATTTGATTGTGCCTAAAAAGGGGTTATTTTTTCTTGATTATTATGATTTTTAAATCTATGAATGTCAAATATACTTAGTTGATTCTAAAAGTATAGGATCATCATTTATCACCCAATAACATATTCTAAGGTAGATATCGCTTGTGTGATAACCTTCATAATCTGCTGAGCGATATCTCCTTGTTTTAGAAAAATACAGCGTGGCCATATAATTCATGATTTCATTTAATATTTAAATGGTAGCTTTCAAGGCATACCCCTTGTCTGTGATATCACCATCGATAAAAGCAGACGTGGTTTCGATCCCTGGTGTGAACATATAGTGGGCGCCTTCTGAAGCTCTTGCGTTTACTCCGGTTACTCCGGTTTCCTCCCACAGGAAAGACCTCTGCGCGTGCGCTAAGTCATTTAAATTGAAAACAAGAAAATTGCCAGCGATATCATCGCCTGATTTAGTTGCCAGCAAACTTAAACTACCCTAAAAAAAATACATTTTTTATCTTGTTGTTCATCTTTCTGTCAACAGATCCTACAGGGTGCCAACAATTTATTGACGTCATAGCAGTTGTCGATGGCTCTGGTAGTATCACCGCGAAAGACTTTAAAGAAGTTAAGGGATTTTTAAAAGATTTTGTTACTTTTCTTGTTGTGAGTCCATCTGTTCGGTTCGGCGTGATCGTCTACAGTAGTGACGTACGAGATGTCATTCCATTATCAGGCGATGAAAGTTATCTGAATAAAACAATAGATAATCTTATACAACCAGGAGGATTAACACGCACCTACCTGGGTATAGCCAGAATGATTCAGATGTTCAGTAATTCTTCAAGCTCTAAAGTTGGCATTGTTATCACCGGTAAGAAACTTTATACTAATAGACAGTTTTCAATTTTCGACATTTTCGGTTCACAACCATGTGTAGAAGAAGAGCACAGTCGTGCCTGCTAACTATTACATGTTTTTAGAAACCTATGGCCAAAATATCACCCAGTGTAGAGTATTAATTAGGGGATCTTTAACAAGTGCATTTTTTTAAATGCAATCCCAGAACTACAGACAATTATATCTTGTACTTCTAGCCAAATTTCAAGCGATGAAATTCCAATTCCCAGGTTTTTTGGGGTTTTTTTTTATTTCTGTTATTTCTGTACAAATTTGTTGTCATGTTTTGCAGAATATCTGCTGAAATCAGAAAATATTAATATTTTGTTGTAACGCCATTTTTTTTATATATAAAAATATCAGATGGGAAATCAAGCAGTACGTCTGCAACTCTGACTGAAGCAAAAAATGCCAAAGACCAGAACATTAATATGTTTGCCATCGGAGTCGGAACCAATATTGATAACCAGGAACTAAATGGTATAGCCTCATCAACTGGCCAAGTATTACTTGTCGCCAATTACACATTACTTGCCCAACAGATAAAAAGTCTAGTGGACGAAATTTGTGAAAGTAAGTATAACAATCTGAATAAAACACAGCTCTTATTTCGTTTCTTTTTATGGCTCAAAATTTATATTTATATAAAATACGAAACGAAATGTAGATCTGTAATTTGAATAATGCATGGACGGACTTAAGATGGAGAAGGTACGTTAGATCGGAGACGGTGTAACACATAATATGACGTCATATGTGGATTGTGGGTTAGGCTTAAGAATTCGGGGGAGGGGTTGAGAGACAAACAGGACTAGCGCTAACCCCCAGCCCTGAACCTAGCTGTTACCCTAACCCGCAATCCACATATGAAGTCATTTTTGCTAGACCGTCATCGATCTAGCTTTCTCCATTTACGTTATATGACTCTGTAACATGCTTAAGGGTGAATCTTGCGTTTTGATTGGTCGATTAGACACTGTCTATTGGACAAAAACACCCATCTAAATTAGAAAAATCACTGCGTATTAATATTATGCGTACTACTTTAATGAAGATAAGCACAATGGAGACACTCAATTTTGATCTTGGTACATTAAAGGAAATATTTGGAGATATGTCCGAAGATGAACTTGAAACGCTACCCCCTTGTCAGGTAACAGCTACAAACAACAACATATTCAAAAATCTATTGTGTTTCAAAAATGATTTTTTAAAAAAATGAAGTGAGAATTTTAGGGCTTTTTTGTGTGTCTATACTCATACGGCTACTATAGCAACAAGACGATAAGCGAGCCAAATCGAACATGAGCAGCCAGTTACCCCGCTACGTCACGACGTTTTCATTACGTCAAAATTGATTTCTGTGGTTTTTAAGTCACTAAAACCGATTTGCAGTGAGATGAATTTTGAAGTTTACACAATAAAATAAGTTCTTTTAAAATTCTAAAAAATAGCATGTTACAATTAGGAGATAAACACCTCCTGTTAGTCCAATAGACATGTCATGAGATCATTAGGACCCAAGACGCGTTAGTAATTGCTAAAATCAATTTTCAATTTAAATCTACTGTTGTCTCTTGCTCAGGATTTTCTATGCCTGCCTAAAATAGTTTGTCTTGCTTATGTAGAATCAATGTTTTAACAAGAGTATATGGCACTCTGAAACTATTTCGAACAATTCTGCATGCAATTGTTAGTGATTGACGTGAATAATGGGAAAAGGTCTAAATAAGTTGACTAACCATTAACACGTCATGATATGATTACGTGAATACCAATTTATTGTCCTTTAGAAAGAATTCATCCTATGATTGATATTGGTAGTCTAAAATGAAATGCAATGAAAAGAAATGGAGTTAAGTACGGAAGCTCAAATACGAACTATTTTTTGTTTGTTCGATTTCCTATTTCTATTTTTGATTTTTAATTTTGAATTATAATTTTGAATATCTATTTTTCATTTTCGATTTTAAAGAAAAAGTTTTAATTGTGTAAATTAATTTATAATTTTGAACTTATAATTTTATATTTTGTATTTTAATGTCCATTTACTTACTTGAGAATGACAAGAGGAACTTGTTGAAACGTAGTGTGAAATAAACCCAGTGATTGTCTTCCATATAAATTGTGTTTTATATCATATGTTCAATTACTAAATGCCGTATAAGGATTTTTTAAAATTTCAATTTTGTAAAATAATTTATAATCTTGAGAACCATTCGGCAAACCTCGGTTATTCTGTGATCTTCATCATGTCATGTAGCTCGCCCATTCGAGGTTGCTTGATATGCCTCTCCGCTCTCCACCTGGCATTAGGAAAAGGCATTGTTAGGAGATTTTACTTTGCATTGTCGCAATTTTCTTTAAAGACGACGCTTTTGAAAGACGTGTAGCCGAGGTCAAATGAAATACCGAGGTAGGCCGAATATATACAAGCGTCTGTTATGAACAAAATGACGACAGCGAAATGAAATGAAATAAAATGGGGTTTTACATGCTACTATTCTGCTGCGACGAGCTAATAAAGACGGCCATACGCCATACAATGTGTCATGAGAGGAATTTTGCTCAGACAGCGGCGCTACGGCTTACCCTTATATCGAAATCCAACTGCGAAGAGGTCTTTTTACATACGCTTTGTCGGGCTCTCCGTCCTGTACCACTGACAAGGCGAAACAAGGCCAGAAAATAACGATGAACTTTCTCAGCCAACGAGCCAGTGTCTTACACACTTAGCCACCGTGGCTTCCATGGCCACAGGACATTCCAGTACGCCCTATTAGTGAAATTAAATGAAATGGGATTAATGGCCTACGGTTCGACTGGGCTAATGAAGACAGGCATACGCCATACAGTGTACTATGAGAAATTTTGCCCGGGGGTGATTCGAGGCGGTGATGATATTAAATGAAGAATTATTTAAAATATTTGCTATTTTGTTTAAATGTCACTGTCGTGACTATTTTTAGCTACTAATCCATGTGATGGTTGTAAAATGGCTAACGGTATTGGATACAACCCACATACAGATTGTGATAAGTACATTCAATGTGAATTTACAGCAAATTTCACCTTACACCAACACCACGTAAAACAATGTGGATATGGAACTTTCTGGAATCAAGATAAACTGACCTGTAATCATATTGGCAATGTCGCTTGTGATAAAGGTAAGATGCCTATCTGTACAAATGTCGAAATACGACAACAAATGAAGAAATAATAATTATGGATTGTGCATTAAGTACTAAGAATTAAGAACACTGAATAAAGAGCTGCTTGGTCTTCCATAGTAAGGTCTTGCATTGATTCAGAAAGCTAGGTTATGGTTCCCAATATAGATTTACAGTGATCTTAGTTTTTTGGTTCATTTTAGATCGTAAGGTCTGTTATTGAGTCAAATAACGTGATTTCAATTCCACAGCTTGTACTTGACAAGGAATGGGTCGCCTGTGCAACCTTGGGAGTTTATCCAGGTCCCCAGGTTTCCTTCTACTGTTAAAGACCCCTATGCATAAGCGAATTATTGAAATAAAATTGAAATTTGTGTCGAATGGACGTTAAATCCCATTCCTCTCTAAACAAGGTTGGGGGGGGGGGCGAATGGTTAGCACGTGCGCGCTGTGTCATTAAGTCAACTGGCGTGGTTTCGAATCCCCGGTTGTACGTGACAAGGAGTAGGGTCGCCTGTCCAACCTCGTGGGTTTTCTCCGGGTCCTCCCACTGCTAAAGACCCCAACGCGCAAGCGAATTATTGTAATAAAATTAAACCAGTCCCGAAATGACCTAGTTTGTGTCGAGTGGACGTTGCCCCCCTCTCTCTCTCTCTCTCTTCTATCTCTCTCTCTCTCTCTCTCTCACTCTAAACAAGGTCTACTAATTGTGCATAAATATCAAAACGTGGTTTGTGTTTCTCTCTCTCTCTCTCTCTCTCTCTCTCTCTCTCACTCACTCTAAACAAGGTCTACTAATTGTGCATAAATATCAAAACGTGGTTTGTGTTTTGAAACCTTTTTCCTGACATCATTTGTATTATATATCAAATTTTAACGATTTGTATTTTGAAGTTTAGCATTTTAACTAACGAGGCATGTATGAAATGAATGGTATGAAATGGGGTTTAACTCCACTGTTCTGCTCCGACTGAGTTAATGAAGACGGACATATGCCATACAGTGTGCTATGAGGGAAATTCTGCTACTTTTATATCGAATTCCAACTACCAAGAGATCTTTTACTTGTACTCCAATGTGTACACCGTACACAGGACCTTGGATTTTCGTCGTATCCGAACAACTAGACAGCTGTCCTTGCCAGGCCCTAAGTCGAGCAACACTGAAATGGTGAAACCACGCCGGAAAATCTCAGCCAATACCGAGATCGAACCCGCGGTCCCCAGGATAGCGAGCCAGCGTCTTACCCACTTAGCCACCGTGGCACCGAGACTGGTATGAAGAGTTCGTGTACCGTTGTATGACGACGCGTTATATTACTATAATTTATAGTAATACTGACACTGTGAATAGCTATTAAATACAAATAGTCTTTCGATCTGTTTCACAGAGGTAATGCGAAAGTCTTCTTTTAAATCTGTAGAAGATGACCGGCCTTTAAGTTCACGAGCAGCATGGGTCTACGTCATAGCACCTCGATAGCATCGGATGTAGCAACACAACTTGACCCCGGCAGAATTTTTACTCATTTTACGGCTTCGTGTACTATTTTACGTACCCATATTTTATGCAGATACCCTTCCAACACAGTAAAGAATTGATTTAAGAATTTAATTTGCAGAAGAAAAAAAGTTAATACTGATCGAGAGTTAATTAACTCGATGTCATCCATTTCAATATGTAATGCTGATCAGTTTGATAGTGTTCCTATTTCACGCTTTCATATTTGAACTTTTGTTTTCGCAATTGAACTCTACCATGTGCGATGCATTTACAGTTGGGTCCAAACTCATTACCAGCGAATATTTTAAAAATTTCGCCAAATATGACTCAATGTGAAATATTAAAAAAATTGGAAAAATACTTCCCGTTACAGTAGAGAGATAAAACTTATCACAGTGCATAGATAAGGCACAAAGATGATCTGCGATTTATTTCAGAATTTTAGCGTCAAAATTCAGCAAAGTTGCCATTTGGCTTTTTTTTAAAAAAAAAGAGTCTTTTTCTGTATAATTTGTTAAGAGCACCCTGATTAAACTCCGCCAAAATGTCACAAATGTCATCTACACAAATGGAAAGAAACAAAAAACTAAATTAGCTGTACAGGTTACCCTAGATGAATATTTCATCATACAAGAGAGACCGAAACACTTCAGATAGTCACAAAAGTCATTTAACAATCCACACGAGCAATAGTGGGTTTCGTATAGTCATGAAATTTGGCGTGATGCATTTCGACTGACTGTAGCAAGGCCTGCAACGGTTCTTCGTCGTCAGTCTTGTCAATGAAGTCTTGGATCATCTTGATACCCCGTTCAGCAAGATTGTTTATCACAGGAGTGATCTCCACCAAGCTTAGAAAATTCTTAAATTCAAAAAAAAAATCCCATCCGCCACATGGTACCTGCATCGCATTCCTGTCCTTCGGTGAGGCCAAGAAGATTACAGAGAAGCCACGAGTCGTTAGATAATAAGCTCAGGCCAACTATGTGCATGCCTTATGTATTGTGCCAAATTTTATCTTTCTATCATAACGGGAAGTATTTTTCCGATTTTTTAAAATAAATTCACATTAAGTCATATTTGGCGAAAAATTTAAAATGCGGCTCGCCATTTTTGGTATGAAAATTATAATATTCGCTGGTGATGTGTTTGAACCCAATTGGAAACGCATGGCACATGGTAGAGTTCAATCGGGAAATATTCAAATATGAAACACCTTCACTTTTGTTACATTTTTATTGACAGATCCATGCAATACAAAGGTAGATGGCTATTCATACAAGACAAATGGAAACTGTTCTCAGTATTATCGATGTGTAGATGGTAAAACACAAGTCAGACAATGTCAACCTGGATATTCCTATGATTCAATTAATGGCTACTGTTCTGTAAATACGTCATGCAAAAGCCCTATACCTATTCCTGGTATGTAGTATTACTTATATATTTAAATAGTATATATCATGTCTGTCGGGGGAGGGGAGTGTCAAATAGTTTCGCGTTAGATCATAAGGTCTGTCACTCAGTCTAGTGACGTGGTTTCGATTCTCCGGGTGTACGTAACAAGGAGTAGAGGGGCTTGACCAACCGCGTGAGTTTAGACCGAGTTCTACGAATTCCTTATAGATCTAAAGACCCCTTGTCACAAGCAATGTATTGAAAACAACTGAACTATAGGTTAGTCACGAAATGAAGTTATAGCATGTCACCTCCGACTGGGCTATGTTGCACCCAAACACATGGTAATAAAGATTAAATTCCTTTAAAGTTAAAGGTGCATTATGCAAGATTTGCCGTTCTTACCATAATAGTTCATAAATAGAAAATGAGAAATGAATATATTGAAAATATAATTCAAATTATTTACGCTGAGCGAAGTTATGACTGTTTGAAGATATAACGTAGATTGTTTATTATCGTAGCAACGGTACTTGACAAGTCCCAATTTTATCTATTTTATCGGTTAATTTTTAAATATCAAAGCTATTCTAATCGATGTGAAGTACGTCCATTCGATGGACCAGAGATTTGATTATAGGCTTGTGATGTGAATAAATGTCTAAATGATAGACACTTGAAGCCAAAATAAAGACCTTCAATAATATATTTTTACAGAGAGCTGTCAGTTTAGAGAAAGAACTAATGATAGATGTCATTATGATTGGGTTACCCCAGCTGGCACGTTTTTCAAGTTGCCTTGTCCAGCCGGTACGACTTTTAACCAAGCCACATGTAGATGTGAGACAGAATTATTAACTTCTTGTTATCGTAAGTAAAGACATGTAAAATTCGAATGTGCTTGTATATTTTATTATATTTTAACATAAACCACCATCAACTAGCTCTTCAGTATTGTCTGAATATACTTTTACATTTGGATTTATTTTGTACGCCCCATGCACGTTTTTCTCTCTGGTGAGTAAGACTTTTGCTCACTAACCTGGAGGTCCCGGTGTTGACCGAGAAACTTCATCTGCAATTTCTGTTATACTTACCTCTTGTCAGTGCTGCAGAAAGAATACCCGACAAGGGGTCACGTATAGTCGCCCGTATAAGTGTCGTGTACACATTGATGTGTTTGTTCATTCATGTAGATTATTATATTTTGTATTTGGTTTAATCTTTCTAAAAGATACCACCATTTTGGTATAATTCGATTTCAGCTGCCTGCAAGCCTATTGTGGACATTCATTTCAACTCAGACGACGCTGGAGAGTATGACAACTATGGTACTTCAATCAACAATGGTGAAGCTTATTTCAATGGCAACGCAACCATTAGGATTCTAACATTGGCCAATGTTGACTTCCAATCTAAAGTTAACATAAAGGTCAAATATCGCCAAACGTCGGATAGTTCTGAAGCACAAGCCGTGGTTACCAATGGTGATTGTAATAAGCAACCGTCAATAAGCATAATCAACCAACATAACACTGTCAAATTCAACCTTACGGATACTACATCATCTGTCCACACACTTGATGTTAATTCGTATGTACGTATAAACTATAATGAACCAAAACTATGGCTAGTACAAATTAATATTTAACTTCATCTGCTGGTCTATATGTGGCCCCGTTTACATTAGCCCAGTATAGGAGCAGAACAGTAGGAAGTTAAACCCCATTTCATTTCTATATGTGGCTCAGGTTCCGGGTCCAATCTCAATGTTACCAGGGAATATATCATGGAAGGCGTGACAAAGAACAGTATCTAGTCGTTGGGATAGCATGAAAACCGGGAATCCGTGTACACACTGGTGTGCACGTTTGACGTAACAGAAACATTGGCAATTGGAATTCGATGACCAGTAGATGGATATACATGACGCAATAACACACTACATGATGCAGGCACGCATTCATTATCCCGGTCTGATTTTAAAACAAGTGATAATTTCAGATACAAATGCTAATTTCTTAATACGACAGCAAAATGTGCAGAAAAGGGAATTAAGGGAATATGAATTAAGAACTAATAATTAAGAACATTGAGTAGAGAGATGTTTGGTCTTCCATACATATGTTAACCCAGATCAAAGATGTTAAGCTTGTTTTGATATTATGTCGCCATGTATAACCAAATTGGGCGAGTATTTTAAATATTATCAACATTTTTAATAACATTTTTAATGTTGTTTTATTATCAGGTCCCATGGCGGGTAGTTGAATACAGTTTGAAGGATGGGCAATTTACAGCGAATGTTGACTCTGGCAGTAAGAGCAAAAGTCTCCCAGGTAAGAATAGTTTTCTGTTTCACCAAACTCTGGGAATTGGCAGAATAATCTGTACTAGTTTTGTTTGTAATTTTACAGACGATGCACATCATAAAATATGATGTTTTAAAATATGCTGGGTAGGGGTTGGTTTAACGTCAGATCGACACAAACTAGGTCATTTCGGGACTAAAGTATGGTTCAATGTTATTTCAATAATTTTTTGCTCGCGCGTAGGGGGTCTTTAGCAGTGGGAGGAAACCGAAGGGCCGGGAGAAAACCCACGAGGTTGGCCAGGCGACCCTACTACTTGTCACGTACAACCGGGGAATCGAAATCACGCCAGCTGACTCAATGACAGACCTTATGATACATCGCACACGCGCTAATAATTCGCCCCCCCCCCCCGGCTTCTGAAAATAATTCAGAAACACACAATGTCCGTGAGAGAAAATAATAAATGAAATATAGATAATAATTAATAAAAGTGTGCAATATGAGCGACTTTTGAAGCTAACACATGATGTCACATATAATTCGCAAGGGACAACGTTCGGATGGGACTACAAACCATGCACATAAAAGAACTATTTGCAGTTGGGATTCGATATAAAAATAGACTGTAGCGCACTGTATGGCGTCTGTCCGTCTTTATTATCCTAGTCGGAGCAGAACAGTAGGACGTTAAACCCAATTTCATTTCCTATCTATTTCTTTTACAGCTGATGCTAGAATATTAAGATCACAGTGTGCCTTCCTACTAGGTCAAGGTACTGGGTTCCAGAATTTTAAAGGATGGATAGATTATGTAAGTCCCTTTGTAAAGTTGGAGCGTTGTTAATTCTCTGGTTCGCTAACCTATACGTCCCGTGTTCGATCCTGGCGTTTATTGGCTTGGTTTCTACTTGTGCACTTGTGAATGACAGTTGACATTCGAAAAGATAGAAGGCCGTAGCACCGCTGCCCGGGCAAAAGTTCCCTCATAGCATGGCGTACACCCCGTCATTATCAGCACAGTCGATACAGAAAAGTAGGACGTTAAACCTAATTTCATTAAATCATTACACATCGTAAGGTAAATGGTATACCCGTCTTTGTTAGTCCAGAAAGAGCAGATAAAATGGGATTAAAATACTTGAGAGTTTGTAATAGTTATATGCTAGTCTTTTTATAATGAAAAATAGTGCTGGTCTTACAGCAACCCCGATTGAAATAGGCAGAACAAAGAGCTTGTATCATGGTTCTCTAGTAGTGAATCAACATACAAATTGACAAACAAATACGATAAACCTTTTTAGAATTTTGAATTATCTTATGTTTTGTTATCAGTTTGGCGATAAGGGTGGATTAATTGGACACAGATCACCAAATATTCCTACAAGGGCCAAAGCTATTTTTAGTCTTCCTCTCCCTTTTCCTTTTTCCCCCTTTTGCATGGTGATTTTTGTTGACATTTTGGTGTAGAATTGAGGAAAAGGGTTTGAAAATACATTTTCTGCCAGGTTTTGGTGAATATTCATAATTTTGATGCGGAAGGATACAAGAGTTGAGAGGTTGGTTACGTTGAAATGTAGGGCCTGAAATTGCATGTTTACTTGTCTCTACTTCCAGCTTGTGTATCTCAAGTTTTTCATGAAGAACCTCATACGTGCCTTTGGGCAAGTGGTTGCCACATGTTGCTCCATCTGTGGTAGAAAGCGTTCTACCCAACGAAAATTTGGGAAAAAGTTAGAGCCGGTCTAAGATACGAGAATTAACATTGGAGTCAATGGGGAAATCTTTAGTGATCTGTGTCCAATTATGTTCACAACTCACTAGAGTTGTCTACCTTAGACATTAAATATATTCATTTCATATTTTTTCAGATCATTGTATCAACATGTTAGATAGCTTGTTGGTCTACAAACTGGATGACTACTCTGAATATACCGACTGTTTTTCATTTTATAACCCGGCTTAGCTTCATGGTTTGTCGTTTGTATGTAAATAAGTTATATTTGATTCGGTTCTCTTTGACTTGTATAAAATATGTAGTATTAAGATCCTAAAGTTTAATCGAATACAATAAAATCACAGTACCGGATATTGAACGCAAAATAGACATTTTCTCAATAAAAAAACAATCGTTGTCTTTCGAATTTGTGCAATTTTAGTCAAACCAACCATATTGTAATTACATAATAATCTATCGTGCCTTTATGATAACCAAATTAATTAAATTTACGGCTTTGTTTTCTAGATAGATTTCATGCATACTATTTTATGCAAACCAACATTGTTTGATACTCCATATATTTTTATTAACCTAATATATAGATGTTTGCTCTGTAATCAAATAATGTTTTCTGGATGAACTTGTTCTGTTCAAACCAACTTCTCTCCATGTTATTTACATTTCAATACCCTATCAATTTACAATAACAAAATAAATATAGTGAAATAATATTTGATTATAACGCTATGCTATGTTGTTTATAAATAAATAATAATTGCACTTTGATTTTGTCGTTGTTCATGTTTGATAATCGTAATATTGCCTTTTCTAATTGCAAGATGTTGTCCTGAGGCGCAGTAGAGTTAGGGTTGGGTTAGGTTTAAGAATTTGGGAGAGAGGTTAAGTCTCCACATAAGCACTGACCTAGGATGATGAAAAGTTAGTTCGCGATATTTCCTAGTTTTATTAAAAATACATACAATACATTAGATTAATTTACAAAAGCGATTTCACTGTTTTTGGTGTTGGTGGCGATGATGGTCTTCCTTGGATGGTACTTCTGGTATTTTGGTATTTTTGTTTCTGAAGAAGAAACGTAAAAGACACCTTGACAGTTGGAATTCGATAAAAGTGTAGGCAGTAGTACAAAAGTCCGGGCAAACTTTCCCTCATAGTATATCGTATGGCATACGCCCATCTTCATTAGCCCTGTGGAAGCAGAACAGTAGGACGTTAAACCCCATTTCATTGCATTTCTTTAGCTCGGTAGGTGAGGGAGCCACGGTGGCTAAGAGGGTAAGAGGCTGGCTAGCTAGCTCGGAGATCGCGTGTTCGATCCCTGCATTGGCCAAGAAAGATGATCGGGATTTTCCGACGTGGTTTTTCCTTGCCAGTGGTACAGGACGGAGGACCTGACAAGGGCATCTATCTAGTCGTTCGGATGGGACGGAATACTGAGGTCCCGTATATACATTGCCGTGTACGTAAAATATCCATTGGCGGTTGGAACTCGATAAAGTGTAAACCATAATGCCGCTGCCCGGGCTAAATTTCCCTCATAGCACACTGTATGGCGTATGCTCGACTCCATTATCCCATTCGGAGCAGAACAGTAGGACGTTAAACCCGATTTCATTTCTCGGTAGTTGGCAAAAAGTACGACGTTAAACCCTATTTCAGTTTGTGTAAATGGGAGACCACTCTTTATATTACACGGCCACGTAGTTGACTTATGAATGAATTGAAAGTAAATGGGGTTAAACGTCCTAATTTTCTACATCGACTGTGCTAATGAAGTCGGTTAATTTTCGTGTAAAGTCTTTTCATTTTTAACTTTTCGAAACGCTAATACCCATGTCGGTGATGCAGGACAGAGAGTCGGGAAAGGATGGGACGAAAAACCGAGGTCACTTAAACAGTTGGAAATCGATATAAGAGAATGCCTTAGTGCTGCTGTCCAATGAGAAATTCCCTCATAGCACATTACATGCGTATGTCCATCTTCATTAGCCCATTCGGTGCAATAGGGCGTTAACCCCGTTTCATTTCATTTTCATTTTGTAATGCTTTTGCCGATCATATGATCCTTTTAATGTTTATTTACATCCAGTCCTCTATTGTAAGAGGAGAGAGTGGGTGACGTCTGTCATTGAGTGAAGTGGCGTAGTTTCGATTCCCCGCATGTGACAAGGAGTGGGGTCGCCTGTCCAACCTCGTGGGTTTTTCACCGAGTCTAGTGAATTGTTGAAATAGAATTGAACTATGTGTTAGTCAAATGACATAATTTTTATCGAGTGGACGTTAAACTCGATTTCTCAGAATATTGAACATTAGGTCAAACTCCAATATAACTGAATAATACGAAATGAAATGGAGGCGGGGATTAACGTCATACTTATTAATGAATTTTTACAATATGGGGGGGGGGGATGGCCGATTGGTTAGCGCTTGCTCGGTGTATCATATCATAAGGTCTGATACAAAATAAAATGCGTCGCTGAGTTGACGTCTAAAGCCCGGCCCATACCACCACGACTTGCCCAGAATCTACCCAACGCAACGTCCTGTCTCAGATACTCAGTGCAGTGTGGACAGTCCCACGACCACGATTCAATCGATTTCCGTCGCGTCGTGGCCCGTCGGCCCGATTGAACATGTTCAATCGTAGTCGGATGCAGTTGGTTGCAGTCGTAACTTATCGGGTTTGTGTGGACACTCACACGACGCGATCAATTGTCTTACTGATGTTTAACCAATCAGAGAGTAGCATTATGCTTCCGGTTTACTTTTGGAATCACTCGCTAGAGGGAAGTGGCGTAACTCACGACGCAAAATCTGTTAGAGTTGGGCCTGTGTGGACTGGTACCGTCGTAGGCAAGTGAAGTAAAGCCGCGACCCGATTTTTTTTTACATCTACCCAAGACGCTGAGTCCTGTCGGCTTGTCTGTAGTCGTAGCGGTATGGGCCGGGCTTTACTATACTCATGAATTTTCACAATATAGGAGTACTATGGAATAAGACTGATACCTGTGCAACCATGTATAGGTCATAGGGAGACTTTTGATTACACCTGTGTCGATGTAATACATACTTCATTCACGTGGTAATGTTTTTTAGCGCAAACATGTGGTAGGGAGACTTTTGATCAGACCTGTGTCGATGTAAAACTAATATATACTTCAGTCACGTGGTAATGGGTAGGACGGATATCAACTACGATTTTATTAATGCAGGCGCGGATCCACCCCGCTCCGTTACATAAAAAAAAATTGTAAAACAACCTTTTCTATGAGAAAAGTGTCATAATTGTGCTTTATCATTTATCGTCAGATGGTGCAACAGAATGGGCGCGAGATAATGATATAGACATATCACAATTTATGCTTTGCATCAATAAAATTGAATCACAATGTCATCGTATTAATTCATAATAAAAATTGACGTCAAACAGGATGTTGGATTTCTCAATGTGTATGTATATACGCCAAAATGACGATAGAGACCATGTATTTCTCAAAAAATTTCAAGCTGACGCCCCTGTATTGACATGTTTGATTGTGACAGATTATTGAAAACTTTATTGAATTACAATAAACTGTGCTCAAAAATCGAAATCTATATGAAATGGTGTCCTTGGTCTACGATTTACATCATAAAAGTAGACCGTGTGAATAGCATTCTGTGTCCCACTTTACCTGAGAAATATTATAGGGTATAACCGTTATTACGATATGCGTATTTTAATAGCGACTCAGAGGAGCGTTCAGTCATAATTGTGATCACCGACAATGTAGTGAATGAAGTCTATTCAGATCTTATAAAATATGATACATATAGCACATGTGTGTGTGTGGAGCCGTGGTGGCTCAGTGGGTAAGACGTTTGCTCGCTAACCTGCAGGTCCCCGTGTTCGACCCCAGTGTTGGCCGAGTAAATGCACTGAGATTTCCCAGCATGGTTCCCATTTATATGGTACATGAAGGGGTGCCCAAAAAAGGATAACGTATACTAATTCGGATGGGACGACGAAAAACCAAGGTATCGTGCCTCTCATAGCATACTGAATGGCGTATGCCCGTCTTCATTAGCCCAGTTGATACAGAAAAGTAGGGCGTCAAACCCCATTTCATTTCATTTCACATAAAATGGAATGATGGATTCCTTGGTGATCTCATGACAGTATTCCAATGCCAGCAATTGTTTCGTGCGCAATCGCGGCCAGTACTGGGGGGTAAAGACCATACAGTTTCATCTTTAAACCCACCAGTATCTCCAGGAATAATAGCATGTATAGTAACAAAAGTGTTACGGTTTCAGTCCATCAAGATAAACGTCCACCAAATCTCCTTGAAATCCAGGTAAAGGACATATTCAAATTTGCCACGCCAAGGTGCCCTTGACTGTCGGTGCTCGTGATCGGCGAGTTTCTTTCATTTGAACACAAGTAAATTGCCCATTAACATGTTTGGGGTAGAGTCGATTATGGCTGTTATTGGGCCTCTCTGTCAGATTTTTTGGTTTAGGAGACTTCCTTGGTAGAATTCGGTGATAATGCTTTTTAGGCTAAACACAGATTGGTCGAAACTTTGAGACCTCTACTTCCAAGTGAGATCAAACCTTATCTTCATTCAGTGTTCTTAATTCTTAGTTCTTAATTCATACTGCTTAACTCTTCATTTGTCGTCGTATTTCTACATTTGACACTAAAATTAAAATTTGTATCTTAAAATCAATATTTGTTTTAAAATCAGACATTTTTCATATCAGATTTGTAAAAATGCATTTTGTTTAATTTAATTGTATTTTAGTATAAAGATAAAATTTATTTCAGAAAATCAAAAAAAATAACATTTCATCATAGACATACAACGAAAAACAAATCTCGAACAAGAAATTTCAAATTACAAATCTCCAAACACAAATCTTGCAAAATATTTCGAACTACAAATCTACAAATACAAATCTTGCAAAAACTTTCTCCAAAATGCGTGTTATGTTTCTGTATAATATTAGTTAACCCGACGTAGCATTAAATAAAATAAATTGAAAGTAGTTTATTTTTAGTAATTAGGTGTGATTTGGACAAACGAAAGATATGATTTTATCTCTTCTAAATCATGTAATCATGAATGTGCCAGTAAAATAACTAATACTCGTATATTCAAAGAGCGATAGACAAATACTTTCCGATAACTGGAATTTCGTATTAAGGCCGGTATTTTAACCTTTTTAAATACCTCCACCTCCTTCACTAAATAAAGTTCAGACGATGCAAAATAATATCTGCTTTAACAAGGTATGTAAATATGAATATGTCAGAAAATATATTTACAATTTTGAAAACGTATTTGGACATTTTTAATGGTATGCATCCCGATATCTTATATTTCGTGTTATGACGTTAAATATCCTCTCACCTCTCATTTAATACGTTCAAATTTGTTTTGTTTTTTCTAGGTATGTAAATATAAATGTGCCAGAAAATAATTTATATTTTGTAACAAGCAATAAACATACTTTCCATCAGTATATGAACAGATATCGAGAATGTCTTATTAAGATCGGTTTAGTACCGTGAAACTTTGATTTTTTTTTCAAGGTATGTAAATATAAATGTGCCAGAAAATAATTTGAAAAGTTTTACGGTATTAAACTCTATTAAGCGATTGGGAGGGGTGGGGTGGGTATATTAAAAATGAAATGAAATGAAATGGGGTTTAACGTCCTACTGTTCTGCACCTATACGGGGCTAATGAAGACGGTGAAAGTACCCCACCATGCTACGAAATTCCAGATATCACACTGAATATCACTGAAAAGAAATTTCGCGGTCATCGTGCGATTTTTCTTATTGTATGTATGCTTGCTCGATTCCCCATTATTGTATGTCTGTTCGTCATACTTTATGGCGAATACAATAACTGAAACTTGGCATAGATGTTCGTTTTATGAACGTCAATTGATAAACATTCTCTGCTTAGGCTACATATAGATAAGCAATATGGTTGTCTCAGATTTTACATCACAATAACCCTGCTTCCAATCAACAGAATCTGATGAAACTTGATGTACAGTTTTATAACATCAACACCTTGACTGAATTCGATGACGTGATTGATTGTTAGATGCATTTTAAACAAATAGGTGTGAAAGTAATTTTTTGGGCTCAGTTTTGTATTTTCAGATTGAGGCGAGGGAACATCAACCTGACTTGTTTAAATACATTTCAATAAACACTGCCTGACAATAACCAATCTGATTAAAACATAGATCCTGTTTCGTTTGTTTTTTTATAGTTCAAAAGTTCATTTACTTGTCTTTACTACACTAGGATCTGGAAGAGTTGTTAGAATTGGCGTGTTCTGGATGATGCGAAGGATTAGCCAATGAAACGGTCTGTTACGGCGAGCTTTTGGTATGAGGAGCACGGAACTGTGGGTAATCCACTAGAAAAATCAATGCTGATTGGTTAACCAAATGTCTGACGTCATAGGGTCAACAGCCGTTCGTATGACCTCTGACGCAACTTCCCAAAACAACTGGTCAGATCCCCATGTAGTGTAGGCCATCGAAAGTATAAAAAAAAAACGAAATATAGATCTGTATTTTAATGAGATTGGACAATAGCTGGACATATCGAATTTGGTTAGAATTCACCAATAAGATTAGTTTTAATATGCCCCCCCCCCCACCGGGCTCCTGACATCAAACAGTTTACGCATTTTCACGACTAGATAACAACATCGATATTGATTGAAATGGACTAATATTAAATTCGTATTATTAATTTTGAATCTTATGGAGGATATTGTGTTAACTACGTCAATTGAACTTTGCTTAAGGGGAGCTGTATCTTTCCTTCAGTTTTAAAAAAGTAACATTTTTGTTAATTTTACTTAGATGCAAGCTTAAAGGAGCTAAATTGCTTATATATCGGACCTAGAAATTGACACAAATGGGTCTCAGCGCATATAATAATGTAATATGAATGTATATAAACTGATTTACATTTAATCGTTTCTATTTGTACCGTAATTTCTAATCAGTTATCTCTAGCGTCTGGTTATTCCAGTCTACACCGATAGTATTTTTGCGCATGCTCCCCAGAAAAGAATATGCGTCACCGTTTGGCATGACTTGCAGAATATGTCTAGCCTCGTTCTTCGAGACCCTTGTTACAAATCGCGCTGAAACGCATTATGGTACACGATTTGTGTACCAATGGTAAACTAATTATTTTGTCTTAAATATTGGATATTAGAAGCCCATCTTTTCCCGGTAAGATCACAACATCAGTGTTGATTTAAATTTACAAATAACTCGTGTTTTCAATGTCGAAGATTTTGAATGAAATTGAGTTAGAGACTTTTGTATTAAAATACACCGGATATATCAAACTAAAATTGGACTTTATTAAAATGCTTAATACCCGCACTGCTCCACATTCTGCGACCTGTCTTATTCTGTGTCACACATTGTTATTGTGGGGAAGACCAAAGTGAACACACACCCAGTTGATATATTTTTTTTCGTTCAGTTATTGCAAATTGCCTTAACATAGTACATTACGTTACACATTTAGAATACAAAAACTGTTTTGATCCTAAAATAGAAATTTCATGGAAAGTTGAGGCTGTTGATCGAATTTAAATAAAAGAATATGCTAATTTCTTTCACAATGTACAAACATGTTTTTTTAGGGGCTCATCAATAATTCATTGACAGATATTATTTGAATTCTTACAAATCTTTATACACGTGTAAACTTTTAACAGTAAAAAATAACTAGAGCATTTATGGGTATTTAAAGGGGTAATCCCTCATATTTTTAAGTAAATAAAATTAATGGATTTATTGTGAAATACTCTTACAGCCCTCTATTCTAGATCCAGGTAACCACCGAAATGAAATGAAATGAAATGGAGTTTAACGTCCTACTGTTCTGCTCCTAACCTGGGCTAATGAAGACGGGCATACGCCATACAGTGTGCTATGAGGGAAATGTCGAATTCCAAATGTCAAAGGTTATTCTACGAGCATGCCAATATGTACACGGGACCTAGGTTGTCGTCCCATCCGAACAACTAGACACTGTCATTGCCAGGCCATGCGTCCTGTACCACTGGCAAGAGAGGGGGGAGGGGGCATACCGGAACGTCCGGGTAGTTAACATAAGAAGGTCTTGCTCACTGAGCCAGGGACATTTTACCGGACAGCGTCGTCACAGCCTACTCGTATTTCAAATTCCAACTGTCAAGGGTTCTTTAGCGTGTACGCGAACATGTACACGTGGCCTTGGATTTTCGTCCCACCTGATCGACTAGACACAGTCCTTGCCAGGCCCTCGGTACTACACCTCTGGCAAGGGGAAACCACACCAGAAATTCCCGGGAACCTTCTCGACCATCACTGAGAACGAATCCGAGATCTGGGGCCTGTTTCACGAAATTTTAACTAAGATAAAATTCAAATTTTATCTTTAGTTAAGATTTCGTGAAACAGGACCCAGGTTGTTAGTGAGCAGTGCTTTACTCACTGAGCCACCGCGGCTCCCCAATATCTCTGGGATCATCATTCCTAAAAAAGGGAATTATTAGACAGGGATGCTTACTTTTTCTCTAAAATGTTGTGAAAATGGGTCACGAGTACAGATTTACGAACCGACAATACACGTTAATAAAAAAAATAATAAAAAAACTAAGAAGCCATTGGTTGGATCGAGACAGTTAAATTGTACTCTATTACTCATCTTAAGTAAAAAGTAAATGAGGGAGGATCGCACTACACGCTTAACAAACCAATAAGACAAACCTGCGGACAAGCCAAACTACACAGACATTGTAAGAAATAAACAACAAACGTCAAATCAAGGGAATAGATATCGGGGCGATTGTGAACGTCGAGTTTGTGGGTGTCCCATTTAATCAAATTTCAGGGCACAATGTCAAATCCCATATTCAAGTAATTTAAATGTTTTGGGGTCGAGCTCAATCTATATTTAGCTACACGAATTCTATTGATAGATGATCGATAAGTTAATGGAAACATCACCTTAAAAATGGGGCAAGGGGTGGATCATGTTATCCAAATGAAATCACGTTGGTGTCCGTCAATGGTTTATGAATATAAATAGCGCCAAGAAGAAATATTCTCCATTAATTGAAGCATTATCCACGACGACGCTGTGCTCAAAAGCTTTCTCCTCGTGAAGGCAAGTATATCAGAATATAATAACACTTTTCTGTTCATGTTTTGACTTTTAAAATGCTGGGGGGGGGGGGGGGTGGATGGCTGAATGGTTAGCGTGCGCGCGCTGTATCATAAAGTCTGTCATTGAGTCGACTGGCGTGGTTTCGAATCCCCGGTTGTACGTGACAAGGAGTAGAGTCGCCTGTCCAACCTCGTGGGTTTTCTCCGGGTCCTCCGGTTTCCTCCCACTGCTAAAGACCCCTACGCGCAAGCGAATTATTGAAATAAAATTAAACCATATGTTAGTACCGAAATGACCTAGTTTGTGTCGAGTAGACGTTAAACCCCATTTCTCTCTCTCTCTTTTAAAATGCTTGTTGAGGATTGTTTGCTTCGTAAAAAAATACGATCACACTTTTTTAAAATACATCTTTAGATTTCACTCAGATGGTTTTGGTAAACTAGAGTGGAGATCCTTACCGCACGGATATTTTGGAGGATCAATTTTTAATCCAGGATATCCTTGAGAGAGATTATATATATATTGTATATTATGTCATAATATTTCAATATGGGCGTATAAAATAACGGGTACAGGTATCTTCTGCCATCTGCAAAGTTTCCATAAAGGAACGATAAAGGAATATTAATTGGTGACTTTTACTGAGAGAGAGAGAGAGAGAGAGAGAGAGAGAGAAATTGGGACATTTAGGGACGAACATCTGGTTCGCACTTATTTCATTTATTCGCTTGCTCGCAGTTATCTTTAGCAGTGGGAGCAAACCTGGGGCCCCGGTGAAACCCACGAGATTAGACAGGCTAACCTACTCCTTATCACGTACATGCGAGGAATGGAAACCATGCCACTTGACTCTATGACATACGTACCCTCATATTATTGTGATTAAAATGGATTCTCAAACCGTTGAAAGAATGTGAACAGCTTGCTATTTCAAGAAGTATTATAGTTATTTATTAAGAACATTTATTTCTATTTTAAAGCTTGATTTCTTTTGACCACAATGAAAGAATTTATCTTGGTATTGTTGATGACCCTCGTGCCATTTAATTCATTTACAGGTAAGTTATAGATTAATTTACATATTGATACATAATGAATTGTATCTGTAGAAATTATTTTTACACTATAACTTCATACAAACTCAACAAGACGTAGTAGTACAAATGAAATAGAAATGGGGTTTAACGTCCTTCTTTTCTGCATTACAAGGGCATAATGGAGTCTGACATACATCATGCAGTGTGCCACAGAGAACATTTTTGCCGAGACAGTGACGCTCTTTATAATGTCGAATTCTAATGTGTACACGGAACCTTTGTTTTTCGAACGACTAGAACGCTGTACCACTAACACGGGAATATCAAACCGAAATATCCCGATAAATTTTCTCGATGAACACCACAGGATGTAACTCGGTACCCCTGCTTAATAAGCCAGCTCCCTGTATAGTACTAGTACATCTGCCTTCTACCTCTGTGATGTATGGAACTTGTAACATGTTAGCGTGCACGTAAAAGGGCCCTTGACAGTTGGAATTGGAAATAATAGTTGACCATAGCACGCGGTATGGCGTCAGTCCGTCTTCATTATCCGCGAAGGTGCGGAAAAGTAGGTCATTAAACCCATGTCATTCCATTTAAATTCTAATATGACGTCTTAATGGCGTCTGTTTGGGCAAAGCTAAAATCCAGGTCCGGATTTACCTACTTGTGGGTCCTAGGCCAAACTCATCAACGATTCCAAACTTTATACTATGCATTCAACCAATAGGCAAGTTTAGCTGGCCTGGATTGAATATTCATATATTATGTACACACTATCCAAAATTCTGACTCCGCCTTCTTGGCAAGCCTTCTCGTGACTGTATTTGTACAACGAGGCTGGGTTATTTGTAACAATAATACAATAGGCGTGTTTTCAATTTCTTGTCAGATTATGAGATTTTAAAAACAAGGTACACGTTATTGTCAAAACTGATTCATAGTGTAATTTCACTCGGTCGTTACTGTCATGCGCATGTCATTTGTGTTAACTTAAGTAGGTAGCTAACAAATTTAGTTATAAATTGAAATAGGGTTTAGCGTCCTAGTTTTTTTTTTGGACCGACTGGGCTAATGAAGACGAGCATACGCCATACATACAGTGTAGGCTTCTGTGCGAAAACGTTCGTCCGGACAGTGGCATTTAGAAAAGAAATAAAAAACTTATGAAGTCAGATTACATGGAAAATACAATAATACCTCAGACGCGACTTCATTTTCCATTCCCTACTTTTTTAATCATCAAGCTATACTGAAAAGGTCACCATTGCTGGAGAATTCAATAATCAGCCATGCGGCAATTGGTATAAGCAGTATCTCTACTTTAAAATCTGTAGTTATATGGATATTCCACAGATCGTTTGTGAAGTCCCCCCAAAAAATCAAAAACTGCATAATCTAATATGGGGTTTTCTCCTCAAAATGTCACTTTGTTAGCCCAATAAGTTAAGCAGTATCACAGAGGACAATTTATCAAGAACATCTCTATGTCGTGAAGACGTATAAATCGCTTACTGTTTCTATCGGTTGTCATATCTTGCTAGCCTTCATTAGCCCAGTCGGAGCAGAACAATTGAACGTTAAACTCCATTTCATTTCATTTCCTATCCTCAGATTTGTCTAATAGGTTTGATTTTGTGTTTATTGTGACCCTGTTGTTTCTTACTATTTATAAATATCAATAAATTGTAATAAAATTACTGTTTTCTTTTAATTAAACACCGTAAAATACGTTTTAAGAAATGTACAAATTTATACAAAAAAATGAATATTTTTCAGTTAAGAGTGAATTAATATTCGATAGCTGTAATGACGAGATAGAGGTCATTGTCGTCCTAGATGGTTCACATAGCATATCCGATGACGATTTCCTGAATATCAAAGAGTCTTTAGCAAGGTTTGCATTAGCTCTGGGAATAGATGGAACCTCGGACCTGAAACTAGGTGTGGTTGTATACGGTTCAAATGTTTCAGAAGTTATCCCGTTATCAAACGACGCCGTCTACCTTATTCAAAAGATTAACAACATCACGCATCCAAATGGAGAAACATATACCCATCTCGGAATAAGGAATATGGCGGACATGTTTTTGAATGATGGTAATTCTGAACTACCCCAATTTGGAATAGTCATAACAGGTAAATCTATTTTACTATACAGTAAATGATAAATTTAGAGAAATCCCGATTGAAATTACGTGGTCCAAAATACGGTATTCATGTCGCGGTGGTCCTGTCGGTATTAGATCGACAAGTTTAACAATTGGGTCATCTCCACCAAGTTGCATGATTGGGTAACTTACATATCAAGATAATCTGACCCAATGATAGGGATTGTTTATACTGTTTAAATGAGCAAGTGTGTGACCACTCGAGCTACGGTTTTCACCAACAATATCAGTCTAATCTATTTTTTTGCAATTTGCGATGATGTGTCCAATTGTAGAAATAAAACAACTTTCAAAGTTATTCATTTTGGCCCCATTTCATCCATAGTCTTATATGAACAGACGAGGTTTCAGTCTGGTTTTGAAAATTCAAACATTTAGAAAGGAACGTGAATTCCACAATAATTAGTAATAGAATGATACCAGTCTGCTCTCTTTGTTATTTTAGATGGTGCTTCCAACTTTACAAATGAAACAGCAGAAGAAGCACAAAGCGCCAAGGATGATGGTGTTATCATGTTTGCTATTGGAGTTGGAGATCTAACTGATCAGGATGAGTTAATATCTATCGAATCACCAGACGTCCAATCAATAGAGCTCGACAACTATGACCAACTTGACCAGGCTATCAATAGTTTAATTTCCACTATTTGCCCAAGTAAGTATCCACAAGTAAGGCCGTACCAATTTAATTTAAGTTTTAGTTCTCGATCAATAAGAAAACAACACTGGATTCTTTTAGAAAAATGTTTTAGTTAGTATTTCAAAACTTGCAAATATGGAACTAAGCGCTTTGTGAGAAGAGCAACCAAAAGTATGTGTTTTTTAAATCATAATACTTTCCACAAGAAATGGAATGGAATGAAATGAAATGGGGTTTAACGTCCTATTGCTCTTTTCCGACTGAGCTAATGAAGACGGTTTCCTCAAGAGATAAAGCACAAAACCTGAATAGGGGCTAAAACAAATGTTCAAATTGGTGTGGCCTAAGAGGGGGGAGGGGGTAAGGGTTATATTAGGGTGAAGGTTAGTGTTTTTCGGTAATTGGTGTCGGTATTTTTTCTGTGTTTTTCTGATATTTTCTCTCTTTTTTTAACTTTTTTTTTCAGAATTGTTGGGTATATATATAGTATTGGCATTGGAAAGTGTATACATTTGTAAAATTAATCTTTTTAACCATATCGGACTTTTATTCGTTACGGATGTGGCTTTAGCATTTCAACTTTTAACCCCAACCCGATATAATCGATAAATTCTAGAATCAGAGCTATGTTCCAAAGCATCGACAAGTCAAATGCTTTGTCAAGAATTTCACCCAATAAACATCTGCAAGATGTTGAACATTTCACCTCAATTAGAAGCAGAGTTATTGTTTTTCCAAAGTCCCGACCAAATAAATGGTCTTCACCCTTCGAATTATTGGTCCTTTAGGGGGTGCAGTTTCTAACCTGTAAGATATGTTAAGTATACTAACTAATTCGTGGTTGAACTTCAACTTTGCTTGTATCATTGTTATGTTTCTCCAAAGTCCTGAATAATCGTTACGGGGATGCGGTCACTTGCCATAAAAATGTTTGGCATACTAATTCCTGGGTGAACGTCGATTGTACTTGTGTCTCATCCTCAGTTACAAGCGCGACTATTGTTCAAAGTCCCGACCAAATGGTCTAAGCAGAACACCCCACCCTGCCCTTCGTTGTTACGGTGCTTCTGTATTTACCCCATAAACATATTTGGTATACTAATTAAATTCTTGGGTGAAAGCAGATTTTGCTTGCTTCATGATCATTCACAAATCTTTTTCATCTTCCTGTAGATGCAACTAAAAACTTAGTGCCAATAGATACTGGTGATGGTGGGCCGTGTGATGGATGTCTGATGTGGAATGGTATCGGTTATAACTCTCACCAAGACTGTGACAAATACATCCAATGTGAATTCACCGACGACAGCTTCGATTACTACCTGTATTCTGTGATTCAGTGTCCATTTGGAACTTTCTGGGATCAGGAGACAGTGACATGTAATCATATTGACCAGGTTTCGTGTGCTAATGGTAAGTGTTGTTTCCTTTGCCCTCGATATAGTTGAATTGTTTCCAGTTCGTGTTTCTGTAGATAAGGGGTACGAGGTGCTTCCATAGTAATTGTTAAATCCTTTGAATTTATTTCATTACTTGCAAGTGCAAGACATATTCGATAGTGTATTATTTAATAAATTCTTATTCATGATCTTATCAGGTTACATAATTGTATTTTAATCAAATATTTATTTCTTTACGGGTAAGCTATCAGGGAGTTTCTAGCGTGCTTCCCCCTTGTCAGCGTTGTCGGACAGCATCTAGTCGTTCGGATGGGACGAAACATCGGGGGTTCGTGTAGATGTTATCGTGCACGTAAAAGAATGCTTGACAGTTGGAATATAAGGGTAGGCTGACCTAACTCAAAGCACAACGTCTTCGTTAGCCCAATCGGTGCACAGCACTAGGACGCTAAACCCCATTTCACTTTTATTTCTTAATACGTATCTCGTACATATCAATAATAAAAGTATCGACTGCACATTTTACCGTTTTTATTTGTTTATAGATGAATGCTATGTATATGATATTTCAACCTACACAGTAAGTGATTCGTGTTCTGAATATTACGAATGTGTTGACGGCGAATCTAAACCCAGAAGGTGTGCCCCAGGTTCCTCCTTCTCTTCTGGTAGTTGTGTTGTGGATCCTGATTGCCGAGAAACCGGCGTAGGTGATGTTAACAATGGTAAGTATATATTTCACTTTATTTTTCTCTTATTTCACATCCAATTTGTACATTGGATTGTCATGTGAAGTTACTATTTCAAAATATAACACAGGTGGCGGGGGTGGGGGGAGGTATGAATGGTTTAACGCATGTGCTTTGGATCATGAGGTCTAGATCTGTCATAGAGTCACGTGATAGGGTTTCGATGGCAAGGAGTCAGATCGCATGTTCAACCTCTTTGATTTTCTTGGGTTCCCCGAATTCCACCCATTGAAATAAAATAAAACCATGTTAGTCCCAAAATGAACCCCCATGCGCAAGTAATTTGATGAAATAAAATTGAACCACTGTGTTAATCCCGAAATGGCCAAGTCAATAGATACAAACAGTAGATGCCTATAGCTAGTGGTTATTAGTAAAAATTTGTATATTTGAAATTAGCGTAATAGTGAATTTGTAAAAGAAAATAATAAAAATTAAAAAACCAAAACAAAGACATTTTTTTTTAATTTACAGATACCTGTTACACTACACGGATTGAAAACGAGCCATGTTTTTATGAATTGATTGTCCATGATTTCACATTTAAACTTCCTTGCCCACCTGGAACGTCCTATGATGCTGCAGAGTGCATCTGTACCACAGCAAATTTCACTTCCTGTGCTGCCCCTGGTAAGTAGAACGAGACTAAGCGATATGATTAGTAAGGAACGCGTTGGCGGAAGCTACAGCGTGTCCAGGATATTTATAGAAATGGCGTCGAATAACATAGTTTAGGCTTCACTCCATGTATACACCTAAATGAGAAGAAATATTTTATCAACTGATCTTCTCATTTCCAAAACCCTTAGATAAACTTGACCATCACGTAAGCATGATGTGGGGAGGGGGTCTGGGAAGAAAACAAAGTCTGGGTACCGTGTATACCCCACATATATCGACATAAGGGTATACGGTATCAGCACTGTACGGGACACATATCACACTATGTGGTAATGCATTACGGTTTCCATTTCAGCAACAATGTGAAAAAGGGTGTGAAATCAACTGCGGTTAAGCGCCCTATTCTCTGCACTGAGTAGGTAATGAAGACGGGCTTTTACATGAAAGCCAATGTGTATACTGGACCTCCCATCCAAACGACTAGCCATTGTCCTTGTCAGACTCTCCATCCTGCACTACTAACAAAGGAAACCGCGCAATAACTTTATCGGTCAACAACAACCGAGTCACCGCGCTTCCCTCAGCAAAACCCGATCACAAGTCAATTATTGAAATACAAAACTTCAAGTATTGCTCACTCTTGTGCGCCAAATTTGTTTGTACTTTTATTCATTGTAATTATCACAACGCACGAAATATATATATTTTTTTCAGAATGTCTGCCAGCGGTCGACATTGATTTTAATTCGACAGAACAGGGTGAATACGACAACTATGGAGCATATGTCAACTATACTGATGGAACAGCTTATTTTGATGGGGACAGTGACATTAAGATACTCCGTTTGGCCAACGTTGACTTTAGATCGAAGATCCGTATCGAGGTGTCTTATAAACCAGAATTTCCCGATGATGCTTCAGTAACGGAGGCTGTTGTATCCAACGGAGACTGTGGCAAGCTCGAGGTTATTTCTATTGCAAGTAATGGTGACGAAACTGTATTCAGTATTGAAAACACAGTTTCCCAATTGTCGCAAATTTCTCTCACTTCAACGACAGTAAGTATTTCTGTATTCTTATTATCTGATTCACTTTCATACCAGTATGTGTCTTTTTGATTCGGCTTACTTTTTGACACCCAGAATAAGTTGCTTTACGAAATGAAATGAAATGGGGTTTAATGTCCTACTCCTATACTGGGCTAATGAAGACGGGCATACGCCATACAGTGTGCTGTGAGGGAAAATTTGCCCGGGCAGCGGCACTATCTATCGCCTACTCTTATATCGAATTCCAACTGCCAAGGGATCTTTTACGTGCATTCCAATGTATACACGGGACCTCGGTTTTTCGTCTTATCTGAAAGGCTAGACAGCTGTCCTTGTCAGCTTCACTGCATCACTGACAAGGGGAAATCACGCCGGAAAATCGGGATGAACTTTCTCGGCCAATGCAGGGATCGAACACCCGACCTCCTGGCAAGCGAGCCAGTGTCTTACCCACTTAGCCACGTGATCCCCAAGTTGCTTTACGAACCAACTATAATGAATAAGCCGGAAGAGGTCCTAATTATTATATGAATTATTAATATAACATTTTTTAACATGACAAGACCAGGAATCAAAAGAAAGGTTCGGCCATTTAATGATTAAATTTAACAAACGGTTGCCATGCAAGATACACCCACATTTTGCAAGATAAAAAATGAGCGACGACAATATACGTCCACATAAAACTGTGGACGTATGAAAATAGAGCGAAGTCCCGAACAGCAAGTGTTGTGGTTACGATAATAAACAGTCAATGCACACATCTTGCCAAAACTACTAACAGTGGTAACTTCGTACAGAATAAAGAATTTGATTGAAATTTTTAATATATTCATTTTGGGTTGTCTATTTTTTAACTTTATAGCAAGAACGGCCAGTTCTTTATCCTATTCTTAGAACATGTATCCTTAAGAAATGAATTGAGTCCGCTTTGTCAGGTTCAATTTGACTTTAATTGTTATCTGATTTCAGGATGATTTTCGAGAGGTTGTATATGAGTTGAATGCTGGTACTTTCTCAGCACAGGTTGGCACCAACTCAAATACCAAGACTTTTCCAGGTTTGTATAATTAGTAATTCTTAGATATCAGAAGAATAGTAAATTACTTTTGAATCTATCGTTGCTAAAAAGGACACGCGTGTTGAGCATGAATATCTAACAGGTTGCTCACATTTATGACCAGCATTCATTTTGGTACTCATTCAAATCTTTATATACCATTACGTCTGTCTCCGCTATATTGAACAACGGTTTTTATTTAGTTTGGGATTGCTGGCTTTATTTTGACGCTTTCTGTATCTGAAAGGGACACAATACACGACATTTACTCAATACTAACTAAATATTACAAACTGCCTACATATATTATCCTATTATTGTGAAAACTAACACAGTGGTTGAATTATACAAAACAAAATTGAGTTATTTCGCGGAATTAGCAAACTTTGAGCGATAAACTGTAAAGGCATATTTATAGTATCTGTGACCAGTAGCTTAAGTGTCTAAAAAAACTATAGCCCAATATTACCAAATATCCCCCAATTCTAACCAAATACTACAAAATGTAACCACATTATTATCCCAAACTGGCGGATTCTTCAATTTGATTCAATATTGGTTATCCTTGCTCATATTCCTTAAGATATTTCATGAATTTTGTACTTCACTGTTTTGTCATCTTCTGGATTATATTCTACAGGTAAAATACTGAAGTCTCACTGTGCCTTCCAGTTGGGTCATGGGGTACTTTACGATGACTTCCGTGGATGGATTGATTACGTAAGCTATTATTCTGCTAACTTTATCAACGATTATAAATACCATTGAAAGTGTCGATTTAAATGCGGATGATAAGAGGGGTTGGGGCAGAGGAAAATACTGTTGTGAACATGTGCACAATTGTCTTTTATTTAAATCAAAAATCAGTGCTCTTTTAAGACAACTTAGAGTAGCTAAGTATCATCCTTAGTCTTCGGCATTGAAAATACCAATTATTTGTCAATTTAAATCTATATTGATGTTGTGATCTTACCAGGAATAAACATTTTACCATTAGTACACGAACCGTATACTATAATGCGTTTTAGCGCCATTTGTAACAAGGGACTCGAAGAACGAGGCTAGACATGTAGACTTGAATAACCATACGACTAGAGATTGCCATTCGATCGAAACTTCTGGCGTATTTCGCCGAACATAACTGATTTGAAATTAGAGTAAAAACGGAAACGATTGATTGTAAATCAGTTTAGATACATTCATATTACATTATTATATGCGTTGCGACCCATTTGTCTCAATTTATAGGCCTCAAATATTAGCGATGGCTTGGATGGCTTAATTAATGGTCTAACGCACGCACTTTAGATCGTAAGATATGTCATTGTGTCAAGTGTCCAACACTCCAGGTCTTCCGGTTTCCACCCACTGCTAAAAGACCCCTTCGCACAAGCGAATTATTGAAATAAAATTGAACCATATGTTGAGTGGACGTTAAACCCATAAAATGCATTCCTCTCTATCTCTCTAAAGTAAAAGGTATTAATCTTATTTTCATTTAAGGGTTGGGGGGCTGATTTGTCTAAACGTGCGCATTAGACCACACTGTCTGTCTTTGAGTCAAGTGACGTGGTTTCTCCTGAATTATTGAAATAGAATTAAATCTCATGTTAGTCCCGAAATAACCTAGTTTGTGTCAGGTGAACTTTAAATCCCATTTCACTCTCTATTTTCAGATCAGGGTATATACCTGTTAAACAGAGCAGTAAAATATGGACAAACAGATCATGCATCAGAGTTTATCACTTAATTGTTATAATCACGTCTTTAGATATTAGATAGTTTTACTTTAGCCAGTTTCACAATTCAATTAAACATACATTATGCAAGTGATAAATCGGCCTCTTGCAGGTCTTTCATTAGGCGTTAAATGTTATATAAACTATTAATTAGACATTTATTAACATTAATAGACCATAATCAACGCTTGGTGCTATCGGATATCTCCTATATTAAGTAGATTAATACGGTTCGGCCGTTTAATGATTTAATTTAGAACAGAGAAGCGAGACTAAGCGTCGAACAACCTTCTTGTCAAACCTTCAAAGGCTAATAACATCGCTCAATAATATGAATGAAATTTTCAAGATATTCATTTTGCATTATCTATTTTTGAAGTATTATTGCAAGAATTGCTAAATATTACATTATGTATGTTTATGTAATTTTATTCGAACAGTGTGTAGAAATAATACAGCGATTGGATTGAAAACTTTCTTTTGCGATTCGATTAATTCTGTTATATTCAAATGCTTTGTGGAAATAATAAAATGATATACTATGTCCATCTATTATTTTGTAGACATAGCTGCTGTGTGAGCGCGGAGGGCCTGACAAGGACATCTGTCTAGTCCCTCGGATGATATGAAAAACCGAGGTCCCGTGTATACATTGGAATGCACGTAAAAGACCCCTTGGCAGTTGGAATTCGATATAAGAGTAGGCGATAGTGCCGCTGCCCGGGGAAAATTTCCATCATAGCACACTGTATGGCGTATGCCCGTCTTCATTAGCCCAGTATAGGAGCAGAACAGCAGGACGTTAAACCCCATTTCATTTCTTTTCATTCATTGCTATGTGAGCGCATTTCAACGTATTCTGTGGCTATATTTAAAGTGTCCTGTTTATTTTACTGATACTTCTTTCATGGGAAACCTGCGAAATTCTCAATGAATATATGTCAGGTTTTTGAGAATCTCCAAACATATCTCTCCATTACCGCCCGGTTTAAGCTGTACTGCTACGATGAAATATGTCAAGAGTGTACCACACATCTGAAATATAGAAATGTTGTTCAAACCGATGTGTGTGTGACTCAGTTGCATTTCTTGTCGATCTATATTAAAACACTATTCTTGCGCTCTATAGGAGTCGTCTTCCACTATTTATTCATTAAATTTCCCCACGTTCAACAGCACCTTGCACGGAGACACGGTGCCATAATACTGGAAACCCACAAGGTGATCCTACCGATTATGGAAGAATAACGTTCCATTATTATTTGTTTACTGCCCACAATGGATGTCAGCAGTTCAGTATACTCATACAGTTTTACAATTTCCAATTTCCATTGCTCCACAATACTAATATCACAGTGTTAAAATATCGAAAACAATATAAAATACAGTATAAGAGAGTCCTGTATTTTAGTTATCTTTTACATTACTCTTCTGCCTTTTACATTACTCGTCTGCGTTTTGCATTATAGACAGGTGTATTTGGGATATTGCATAATAGAACATATACCTTTTATGGAAACTACCAGAACCTCTTTTGCGCACGGAAAAAAGTGCACACACGTACGAGAATTAATGAAATCGATCTAGAAAGTCAAGGTCAGTAGAGGGCAGCTGTACTCATTTTTCTGATTAAGGAGGCAGACCACCATTAAATTTCACCATCTTGGTACTCACAAATTATAGTTCCCTTACAGCAATTCTCTCCTAAAATTGATACAGGTTCACCATTAATATGCGGCTTCTGCCCTGAGGGGAAATCTGGAGCTCCTAGTCTTGACGGCCCTGGTCAATCATAAGGTGTGATCGGTCTATCTATGACGTCATTGGCCGTACATATCACCGTAACCAACCACCAACGCGACGATCACATAGGCAGAATGTAGAAGTGTAATGTGCAAAATAACTAATACATGACTCTCGTATACTGTATTTTGAATTATTGAAAAATGTAATCTATATTTTAACACTGTGACATTGCAAATTGTAAACCTAAAACAAAGGTCCTTTGAACTACCCGGTACTGATATATGCATTGTGGAACCTGAACATGGAAATAATAATTGCGGCGTTATTCTACTATATACAGACATCATTGTGATAAATATGTCATCAACAGTTGGATTTGAACAAAGGTAAAACTAAAAAAAAGGATCACTACCACCCGAGTACGATACGCACAAAATTAGTCCAATATCCATCGACCAATTTCGAACATGAATAAATAGAAAACATAAAAGAAAATCACTATATAAATAATATGTTCCTTTATGTTGCCCCACCCTCACTACTATAAATAGACGTACCGCTACAATGCTTGATTTCTGTATAGTAAACAAACCATATATATCATAACCTATTGTTGTTCCACTTAACTTGGTAGTAAATATATCTATCTGTAATACAGAATATAGTCTTATATATTTACACCGATATGCATGAATGGTAAAATATCCATTCACCAAATGCGATTGTTATTATTATTATTATTAAAAGTAATTATATAGTTTGCACGTTTTTGGCCCTCTTATGAATCAGGACCCGTTGTTTTGAGAGCAACATTATGTCTCAAAAGGTTTCTTTATGTTCATCCATAACTTTGTATTGTCCATCCAGTCATTCTTTGTTCAGATCAAATTTCAGTGTGAAATATTGTGGACATCAGATGGCGAACCCTTTCGGTTTTCGGCGTTCTACAACTTTCCGTTTAACAGTTATCCCCCTTTGCCAAAACCCTGTGCACGCAATAGCGGCTATAATTTGTAATGGATTTCTTTCAAATTCGGTGGGAAGCTTTGTGGTGATAAGAGGACGAACCCTATCGATATTATAAGTGCTCTTCGACTTTCCGTTCTTTGGTCATTAAAATTTGCTAAAAATCCAAGTTTTCCTTTCAGATACGCTACAGTTGCTACAACGCTGCTGTGTAGGCGTATATTCAATTTGTGTTATAAACAATACTCATGTGTTATCTAAACATATATTGTAGGTCATCGAAACATAGGCTGACACGCATGTATTGGAAATAGCTAAAATTGATGCAATTATCGAACAATTAAATACCTACCATTTTTAATCCTCTATCTGATACAGACGAAAACTCGATCTTCCATAATTGGTCTAATGTTTCATGAGCCTGAAATTTAAAATCAAGTTCCATCTTTAAAAGATTAGGCACGATTTAAACTAAGTCTATTATTGGAGGAAAACTTAACGATTTCTTTCGTGAATTGTGAAATATTTCCTAAAATGGGGTGTGCACTTTAGATCATAAGGTC